CATGTACTTCTAATCCTCAATGAAAAACAGAAACAAACACATATAAAGATTCCAAAAATCTGCTCTAATCTCATTAACATGGTACATTAAAACATTATGACTAAGGCACAACTACGTCTGAATTAGCACATATATAAACATGGAGGTATAATAGGAATCAATTACAATTGAAATAACGATAATCTGGATTAGTGTAGGTATAAACATGAAAAAATCTACAAACATATATGAAGACTTACTCGTTGGAGTGATTTTAGACAATGGATGGGTGGTCTTCGACATGTATGGTCCAAAAAAGAAGTACGAATCTCAAGAAAAAATATGCTTAGGGGGTGTGGTGGGTTGTTCTTGAGGAGAATGTATATATATGTAGAATATCACTCTTAGAAAAAGTAACTTTCCATTTCTTCAATGTAATTACGCATAATAGGGTTCTAAATTAGGTATGTAATCCCACACTAAATAAAGCCAGTACTCATAATTGACGATTTTACCGGAAAAAATTGGGGAATTCCAGAGCCTAGATTTAGAAGTATATACAAAATTTGAATAAGAATTACATCCGAATCTTGGAAACAAACCTGATTTTCGATTTGACACCGATGAAAAAGTGGATCTTGACGCCATAGATTTCCTAATTAACGCGAATAATCAGCGGCATGACCCCGTGGTGCAGATTTCCTTTCCTTAGACGAAGAATCAGTGAAGAATCAGTAGATTATCGCAAAGTTTTGGCTCTGGGACGCGGCTAGAGAGGAGAAGAATCGTCTGGAGGCTTTCTGCGATTTTTACGTATAAGTGGACGCGTGTAAGGAGCTGATGTGTAATCAAATTAGGAGCCTTAAGTTGCCACGTGTCAAAATTCTAAGCCATCAACTCTCAAATTTTATATTAAAGGATTTGGGGGTCACCTCAACGTTGTGTATCCTTCTACTTCTCCCTATCTTCCTTGACCTATCTAAATTTTTGTTACCAAACAAGATAAAATATTAAATCTACTTCATCCTACCTCCAAACAAACACAACGTTAGGAATTCGTCTATCGAGCGTTGCGATGGCCAATAGGCGATAGGGAATATCGTTTTAATTTTTGTAGAACGGTGTCGTTTTATTTTAGGGTGCTTATTTATTTTAAGACATATTTGCACTAAATAACACTAAAACTTAAGTCATTTCCCTACATAGTAATTAAACTATTTTATTTCCCAAATAACACTTAATAATGTCCATAATGTTCAATGATGACGAACATTTACTTGAATAATGACTAATGGATAATGATCAAAAGTGCTACATTAGAAAAAAACACATGTAATGTTATTTAGAGAAAGTCATTGTGTTTTAGTGCTATTTAAGTAAATTCCACTTATTTTAAAGTAAAGTAATACACAGTATTTAATCTCGCACAAAATATAAGTATTCATTTTGAAATAATGTAACATTCATTATGAAATAAGGTAGTATCATTTTCGGTCATTTGTCTAACACAATCACAATTTGAAATAAAATAGTGCTCATTCTCAGATAAAATTAGTGCTCGTTCTCAAGTAACGTATAGTTCATTCTCTTCATATTTGGAAAAATATAATCTTCAATCACAAATCTCCACCATCGACTCGTTCATCGCATAGCATCTTCACCACCATTGATGTGTTCGTTGCATAGCATCTTCATCTTTGCCAGTCTCAACCGTCGACGTAGGGTTTCATCTTGCAAATGCCACCACCTTCACATGTCGATCGTTGTCGCCTCCTCGCACTAGGATTTTACCTTTAATCGATTGCAGGTCTCTCATTCGTCGACGTCCCCTTCATCGGCATGCATGCCTCTCCTCCCTTCGATCTAATTATTACTAGTTCGTTATACTGTATAATTTGCATTTGAAATATATTACAATTTAAATGTGTAAAATCTCAATATGATACTCAATAAATATGTTTTTTTTCAAATTAGTCTCTAATACGAACTAATCACTGATGTAGTACTCATCAATTGAAAAGAATACTCAGTTTAGCCTTTCGACTAACGACTATCAAATTCATGTCAAAATAACGTTAAAACTCATTAAATATGAAAAAAGAATTTTAATTTTTATATAATGAGAATATAATAATTAAAACTATTAGTATAAATTAATAATTTTGTAACAAACGTCTTTGATTGATTATATTATTTGAAAGAATATCATGTAAATAAAGTTTTAATAAACGTTATGTATTTCTTCCACAAGTTTAGAAATTAGTATGAGTTTTAACTTTTTTTGTTTAAAAAATTAATATGAGCTTTAACACCATTTTGATGCTATTTTGATTGTTGTTGGTCGGAGGACTAAACGGAGCATTACTTTTATTTAATGAGTACCAATTTGATAATTAGTTCATTTTGAGAATTAATTTAGAAAAACACATAATTATTGAGTATCATTTTGAAAAATTGCTCAATTTATAATCATCTATACAAAAAATGAAGTGTAAAGTTACACTATCATCATATGACACTATCGTGCTATCATTTCAATTAGAGTAGTTACAATGCTCTATTTAAAAAAATTGACGATTCACATTTTCATAAATCTTTAGCATAGTTTCACCATACTCCCATCTCACTCCCCTACATCCACTTTGGATCGCCAGTTTGACGTATTAATGAACTTTCATCCTTACGAATGCATTTCGTTCGTCTATGATTTGATCTCATCGGATCAAATCTAATTTAGTCTGATGTATTTTAATTAAATCCGATATGATCTCCACCTACTCACAATTGACCCAGTTGCCACCGCCTCACAACCCGTTCAAATGTTCTCCATCATCCATAGACCTCTTAAGAAACTTTTTTTTCTTATAATAATCAAAATTGATTAAGAAGAAATATTCAAAAACAAAATAATGAAGATGATGTTGAATAAATCTAATGTTGAATAAGTAATTATTTTTAGTATTTAACCATTTAAATTATATTTATTGTCCTATTCCTTGATAAGTAGCTCTACACTTTCTATGGCTTTCCTTGTTTTTAGCAAATGCAATTTGTTTCCATTTTCTTTGAATGTACTGCCTACAAACTGGCTTTCCTACAGAGTAATAAATCATTGAAGTCTTTATCTCAATTCATGTATTGCTTTCTAGAGTTCTCACATGTATTACATTAGGTATTGATGGTGTAAATATAGCTGGGTGGGTTAACTGGATTTAACCTGGACACACTCGACCCGTAATATAAAACACACAACAAGAACACAAAGTATGACCTAGACCGGGTAAATCTCCTCAGTCCGAATTATATTTCTTATTCTATCTCAAGAGTGTACTCTTTTAGTGAGATATAGAATGGATCCCATCCTCTATCCAATATCATCATATTTATAGAGGAGGATTTGTGACCTCTCCTTATTCACCCATGGACAAAATAGGAAACCCGGAGGAAGGTCACTGTACATAATCTAATCACTGTTCAATCATAGACTTGTTATTAATACAACCAAGAATCAGTGTTCAATCAATGACTAAAGATGGATATTCTCAATCCAATCAACCCTGCAAAATGACAAACATCCCTTTCACTGTATGCCTCGTGATGGATGAGCGGCGGGGTGGTCCCTCGATCTTTGACGTGGTTCGCCATGCTTGAGAGACTGGACCAACGTTAACTAAGTAAGATCATATGACCGGTCACCTTTTCTCAAAGGTTGCCCGGTCATTTCTTGAGTTCACCCCGTCTCTTTGGTCTTCCGGAATATCCTTCGTAATATTAAATGACATTTTGGCTATCGCCCAAAATGTGACCGGTCACTTTTTTAGTAAAGTGACCGGTCAATTTTTGACCCGTCCCAATCGAATAGTTTACCTCATTTGGTGATTGAAGAAAGTGACTGGTCATATTTTGACATGTCCCTTTCGGTTATTCGGGTCGGGTATAAGGATATACCCATCAGGTATTTCTTCTCATTAAGGTTGTCTACAACCTGTTTGATAAAAGTCCCCAAAGACAAAGATGTGATCGATGATCTACTCTAAAATACTCCCTCAATTGGGAGATCACATGACAATCTTTAGAGAACTTTGCTAAACTTATGCCTGATATCCCACAAACTTCGAAGTCACAAAACATGGCATTTTGATATAATGCCATTTTAAGAGTCATAGCCATATGTAATCTTATGGTTGGCAATCTCAATAATCACAAAGTAAAGTTGTAAATATTTAGTTTCATGCAAAAAAGCCTGTGTAAGAAGTAGTATGTGTATGTGTAGGATTTAATGGGTTGTCAACAAGTTCACACAATCACACTAACATGCCGTATGAAACTGAAATACTAAAGTACGTTATTTAGAAAGATTTTATTTTCTATAGTTGAAGTTTCAATGATCGAAACTGAAACCAAACGGAAATGATTTGATTGGGGATTTATGTTAGATTTTGATTTTTTTATTTTTTCCAATTCAATTTTTTTGCTAGGACGGTTGGATTTAGACCTGACATAAAATGACCTGAACTGATTTTGAAGTGAAACTCGATTAAAAAATACTGGATTTTGAACGTAAATTTTGTTGATCGAATCCAAATGACTCGCTAAAAATAGGTTAACCCTGCCCTGAATCTAACCTTTTCGACCTACTAATGTAAAAAATTTCAAAATCATATACTCCCTCCGTTTGGAAAAACCCTTCCCATTTTGATTTGGGGCAAAAATAAGGAAGTGTTAAATTATAGTTGATTTCCAATTTTGCCCCTGATGTGATAGGTAAGGTATGAAAAAGTAAGGGTAAAAGTGGTTTTTTAATAGAAAAGGGAAGTGTTTTGTTGGAAGTGGAAAAAATGAAAGAGGAAGTGTTTTTGAGAACGGAGGGAGTACATTAATTTTGATTACTCCCTACGTCCCAAATAGTTTGAGACATTTTGAAGGACATGCAAAATATCATACTTAAATTAAAAGAACTGATCTTACCTCGTTGGTTCGATTTGAAGATGATGACACTGATTTATAAATATACAATCCCTCCGCCCCTATTTTGATTACAAAATAGGAATTACAATGTAAAATCACATGATTTTTGAAATCATTTTACTTACAAATTAATACATTAATAAAAAATAAAAATTACATATTAAAAAACTACGTCCATAGTTCTACAAAATAAGAAGTGACAGAAATATTTTTTTTTTTAAATAATAAAAAAATACACAAATAAATAAAAATTATCGAGAGAAAAAATAAAATAAAATTGTAATCAAGAAAGGGGATTATTTTCGGCCCAAACTCGAATTTAGTTGGAGTAAACCTAATTTATGTGAAATGTGGGACGGACTACGGAGTACTTTATTATTTTATTCCCTTGGGATTCGCTAGACATTACGATCTGGGGAAGAGCGAGAGAGAACGAGCGCGGAGGAGCTAGGGTTCCCGGTCACGGAACCACCTCCGACGAGCAGCGCCCGCGCGTAAAGGTCTCACTCATACCACCGCCGCACGACGACCAAGGCTCCGTCCCCGTTAACGCATCAACGCACAGGAGTTCGTAAGAATGGTTCTGCGAACGGTATTGGTTCCCAATTTAATTTTTGAATTCAATCCATCGAATTTATAATTGTTTTCGGATTTCATCTGAGTAGTTTCAAGTTGAGATTGGTGATTTCCGTTACTATTCTTGTTGGTCCTTTGACTTTGAATCTAGGGTTTCTGTTGCTGTTTCTATTCGAATCTAAATCTTGTCACACTCCTAATTGTTGTGTTACAAATTGGTTCCCAACTTTAGCCTTTGAGTTCTGTTTTTCAAATTTATAATATTTTTGGATGCTATCTGAGCAATTTCAAGCTGAGATTGGTGATTTGCATTACTATTCTTGTTGGTCCTACTGTTTGACTTCGAATGTAGGGTTTCTGATACTATTTCCGTTTGAATCTAAATCTTTTCATACTCTGAGTGTGATTTTTCTATGGTTGTGTTATAAATTGACGTTGCTAATGTTGTGTCTAACACAACCTTTTCAAGATGACAATTGCTACTTTGAATCAAGAAATGGCACATGGGCCTCTACTCGTAAAAGAAAATTTTGTTGCTATTGGGAACAAAGCGCTGATAACAGCAAATGCGGGACGTAGGTGGGTGTTTGGGTTAAATGAGAATCACCAATTTATATGGGTTGAGAGATTCCAGGTATTATGTTTGATTTTACCTTCTTTGTCCACACACACACAGTGAGAGAGAGATAAATTTGACCAAAGACTGTTGTCTCTCTCACTGTGTGTCTAGACAGAGAGAATGTAAAATCAAACACAATACCTGAAATCTGTCAACTCATATGAATTGGTGATTCTCATTTAACCCAAACACCACCTACGTCCCGCATTTGCTGTTATTAGCGCTCTGTTCCCAATTGCAACGAAATTTTTTTTACGAGTAGAGGCTCATGTGCCACTTCTTGATTCAAAGTAGCAATTGTCATCTTGAAAAGGCTGTGTTAAACACAACATTAGCAACATCGATTTGTAACACGACCATAGAAAAATCAAACTCAGAGAGTATGAAAAGATTTAGATTCAAACAGAAATAGTATCAGAAACCCTACATTCGAAATCAAACAGTAGGACCAACAAGAATAGTAACGCAAATCACCAATCTCAGCTTGGTATGTTCAAATCAGAAAGTTGAAGTCTTTAAAAATTTAATGTAAACTTTCCATCAAAGACATCCAAATGCCAATATTAGTATTAGGTCTAGACATCTAAATACAAATTTAGTGCCCACTACGAATGTCGTCATAATTAGTTTTGTTATGCAGTTTTGCTTGAGTAGTGACTAGACTTTGTCAAATTTGGGTAGTTGAAAAGCACCATTCATATCCAATCATATATTTTTGTCATTGAATGCTACTCCAAAAGGAGATACCCCATTAAGGTATGAAAGAATGTGATTCAATACCTCATGAGTAAGTCCAAAGCAAACCCACTCCCTAGCAATCCATTGGTTTAGTTGTTGTCGAGGAATCAGATTAGCTAGTGTTGGAAATGAGAAAAACAACGCCCTGGTTATCGAAGCGAGATTGATGATTAGGTGAAAATATTGAGAAACGACTATAGCCTTTCATGATACTCTTATCCGCTGCTTTGCATGCAGCAGCAACGTGAAGTTTATCATTTTTGTTTGAGCCACATGTGGATGTTTGTAGATGAGTATATCACTGGGGATATCATTTGCAAAATTAGAATATCTTCATGGGCTATTTTGGGGGTATTCTGAACATTGTTGCTATTTTGAGGGGTATTCTGAACATTGTTGTTGTTTTGAGGAGTATTCTGAAGATTGTTGTTGTTTTGAGGGGTATTTTGAAGATTGTTATCATTGCCAGTAACAAATGTGCTTTCACTATTTTCATCATTAGAATACTCTTTATCATTCTCATTAGCCTCCCCTTGCTGCAAGGTCAAGGTCAGATATCTTACTTTATAATTAGCATTTAAGGTCAAATTCATCTCTCTCTCTCACTGTGTGTATATGGACAAAGAGTGGTAAAATCAAACACTGCTGCTGCCATTTAGCATGTGAATGAGAGCATCATGGATGGCTCTAGCTGCTTGTTAATATTTTTGCTTAATCATTGCTCATTTGCTCTCGTTTCGATAATCATATTTCTCGTTTCCAACACTACCTAATCTGATTCCTTATCAACAACTAAAGCAATAGATTGATAGGGACTGGGTTCGCTTTGGGTTGACTCATGAGGTATTGAAACACATTCTCCCATACCTTAATGGGGTATCTCTTATTGAGGTAACATTCAATGACGAAAATATATGATTGGACATGAATAGTGCTCTTCAACTACGACAACGTCTAGCCATTGCTTGAGCAATACTGGCATAACAAAATTCATTATGACAACATTTGTAATGGGTACTAAATTTTATATTTGAATATCTAGACCGAGTACTAATATTTGTATTTCGATGTCTTTAATTGAGATTTTGCATTAAAGATTCCTACATAGGGAAAATTGGCATTCGAGACTTCAATTATCGGATTTGAACATACGAGTACTACGTATCATCTTTGTAGTTGGATGTTTTTCTTTCTTTGGGGGGGGGGAAGGGGTAGGGTGGGCTGGAATTTGTTGTTTTATACTTTTTCCTCCCAAAAATGAAAAAGTATTACAATTTTATACGTTGTAGTTTCCACGCTTGTAATTGACACCACCTTCCCCCCTCTTCCCCTGTAATTGACGCCATCTCCCCCATCTCCGCTGGAACGAGGCAGTCTCAGAATACTGCACCTCGATCCTCTCTTTGGCTTCCATCTTTGATTTTGTTGTTTGTTTCTTGAAATTTTCGGAGCTCTGTAATCGTCTTCTGCAAAAGATTCCATTGCCGAGTTCAATTGCTGGTTTGGGCTTGGACTGTGCGTGAATTGAAGGCAAGTTCTTCGTTGTTACTGTTCATCTCGGGAATAATAGAATTGACTTTACCCTTGTTTCAAGCTCAATTGATGCCCAATTTGTGGAGGATTATGAGCGAAATATAACCTTTGGAGGATTAAAATGAGGTAAAGTTGATTCAATTTAACTATTTTGTATTGACAGTAATTGTCTAAATTCTTATTGATAACGATTGTCACTTGTGTCCTTAAGGTGTTTGTCTATATGCAATGAGAAACACAACAGATGGTTTAGCTACAGCTTATCCAAAACATATTATGAGTATTCAATTTAAATTCTAATGTCCATTAATGTTGGTTCCTATATTTTTGTTTGCAGGGACTATGGGATACAAGTTTACTTAGGTAAGTGAATGTTTTTGTTGTATGTTGTGTGGAGTTGTTGAATACACTACTTCTGCGTTTTTACTAACTCATTCTTATTTTGGAATTTAAATTTGAATTCAGAATAGGATTTGATACTGCACATGCTGCTAGGTAATTAATCTCTTAACTAGGTTCTTGCTTCATATTCTGGTCAATCAATATGTTAGGGAGCAATTGGCATGAAGAGTGAAAATAAACTATATTAAAGTTCACTTTGCAACAATGGGAAAATTATTATTTTGGCTCAACTTCTATTTTAGCAATTATTAGTTATTTTGATAAACTTATGTTCTCACCATTTATGGAGGGGCTTTGGTTTGGTCTTCCCCTCATGTATTTTGTTTTATTATTTTTTAATAAAACTTGTTTTATTATACATATTGCAATTTTATGTATCTCCCTAATATTATAAGCGCCTAAGGCTGTTAAGTTCGTTTTTTTCCCGTCTAATTTCTAACGCCTCTTTTTTTCTCCGTTTCTTTCTCTTTCCAATTGCCCGGCCTCTTGTGTCATTCTAGCCACCCACCGCCCCACGATAAGAGCTTCTTCACTGCCCACCTCTTATATTTTCGTTCTCCGGTGTTCCTATATGTCTTTGTTCTTCAATTTCCAGGTATGTTGTTGTTTGTTCGTGCTTCCTCGTATCTCTGCTTTTCAATTTTTGATAGTTCAATTTCACAGATTTTTAGAAGTAGGTGTTTCAACATATTGGAATTGGCTCAAATTTCAAGGAATTCCAAACTTCGGAAGTTTCTAGGGTGCAGTTCTTTGGAAATTGAGTCGATTTTGTATACACCTATTCTAATTTAGGAAAGACTTGGTAAAGGATAGGGGATCAAATCCTCCAAATCCCCACAAACAGATTGTATGCGGTGCATGTTTGTGAAAATTATTTTATCCCATAAAAATGATTTGAAGGATTTGAAGTCCTTAGAAGGTAATTTAGAATGCACTTGATCGCATTTGGTGCCCAAATCATGGATATAAGTAATCTATTTGTTGAGTTGTATTACAGCTAAAAATATTACTTTTTTACAAAACCGAGGTTCATGGTATTGTTTATAGTATTTAGATGTATGAATTTGTTAGATAAAAGGGGTTTGCTTCAACATATGTTATACCCGAGTAATACTTAGGGCTTGTTGATACATATTTTATGGAATTTTGGGAGTAAGATATCATGTTCTGTATATCACAGTGGCACTTCGATCATAGACATCTGCAGACGTCTTCTAAAGAGTGATCGAAGTAGGTAAAGTCATCATGCATGCAACTATAAACCATTGTTTCTAAACATGTTGGAAGGAATGAGCAAGTAGGTAAAATCATACATCTATCAATCCATTTGTACTACTGTACGCTGTGTTATGTTTATAAAAGCCAAAATTGTATTTGTAGGGAACTGCCCAAGACTGCATTTCGGGCTTAAGTTCATTTGGTAGCATCATCTCTCCCCTCATATTCAGCCCCTTGACAGGTAATTACTATGGAGCCCTAACTAAGATGGGATCCATTCTTTTACAATTTGTTTGATTTCTAAGCATGAATTTAGATGACTCTTGCTGAAATATTGGCCTTGGCTTCTAATCTGTGACCATTTTTCTAGGTTCACGAAAATGACAATAGACAATGGTTTCATTTGTTAGAAAGAACTGGTACACACCAAATCCTTTCATGTTCCTTTATTTTGTTGTTTCATTTTTAGTGTGTTTAATGCATGCCCCCATTTATTGTGTTTATTCCATGGAAAATTCTATGGTACCCTGTGTAAGCTTGAGTTTATCTATTCCTTGGGCAGCTACCGGTCTATTCTTTTAATTCTTTTAAAGGAAGTATGCTCGCCCTAATACTCTATAAATAGAAACAATAGAAGAAATAATAGAAAGGGAAGCCCCGAAAACTTTACAAATAGACCATTGCCGTCATTCAGTGAACGAAAGCGAGTATCTGGTCTTTTAAGATCGTGAGGCATTGCATGCAGGAGGTCGAGTTGGTTAGTACGAATGGCAGCTACCAGGGGACAAGGGACTTTTGAAAGCAGAAATAATACGTTGTATCTATGTTCAACTCATTTAGTAAGAATAAGTCTAGATTCCAGGTTTTTAAACTTCCCATTTACAAAACACATTTAAAGCCGGATGATAACACCAGATGTTGTTTTAGGCATAATAACACTTTATTTTTTGATACCCTCATATATCTTCCCCAGGATTGTTCAAAGACATTCAAACAGTCCACACATGGAATTAAGTTATTAAGTTAATATAGAACGCCATATCTTCCGTTGTCAAATTGAAGCCAAAATAAAGTTTTCTTGGTAGAGTTTTTGGGCAGTGTGAGGAAGAATACAGTCTAATACTGTTAAATTCAGTTTTTTAGCCTATATGACAGTATAGGCTAAAATAAAGTGTGTCTACATGTTCAAAGATTTAAATTAATGTTCCAAAATCCACTGCCAAAATTCCTCTATATGACAGTCTACACTGTCATATAGATTCAGCATATTATTTTTGCCCCTTTCCCCAAGAATGTGGAGTGTGAGTGATTGCCCAAACTTGAGCAATACCTGTACGATGGTGAAACGAATCAAACCGACTTTCCCCATATCTTTTGCCCCTTTACAATGGAGCTCGAGACAGGTGTCAGCCGTCTCAGAGGAGGGGTGGAAGATAGCTCTGATTTGTCCTTCATCCTCCCATATTCAAAGGTAACCTTCTTAATACGAAAGTGAAACCTTCACCAATCTGGAAATCAATAATTTAGGGTTTGACTTGATTTGAATGTCTGATTAATTGGATTTCGGACTTCTATATTGTTAATTGAAAGCTGAAAGCTCCCAATTTCCAAGCATGGGATTCACACCCTCTATTCTCATCTTTTTTGTTGATAAAAACTAATGTTCCTCATACAAACCATGCATAGGAAGTTTGTTTTAGACATAAGGTCGGGTTCTCAAATCTCAAGATTAGAGAATCACTTCACTTCACTTTGCTCCATTCACTTCACCTCATTTTTTCAAAGAGAAATGCCAGCTTTTCTGTTCCATATTATTCTTGGTATGTTTCTGCTAAGCTTCTCTTCTTTTGCTCTTTTGAAGTTAAAAAAAAGTGTTTGCATTCTTGGAATGCTGCAAATTAAATTTCATGAGGGATCATGATTGTTATGGAGATTACCGTTGCTCTGTTCACTTCACTTCAATAAGAGGCTAAAAACAAGAGGGAAGGGTGCTACTGAAGCTAATGTAAAGGCTAAGCTAATTGTAAATCCCCCTTAATAAGAGACTAAAAAAATCATTAACTTGGGTATTTAGTTTTTAAACTTAAACTTATTACAGAAATAAAAAAGCCTTACCAAGACTATGTTGGTGTTAAGATTATTAAATGAACTCATCTTCTTTATTCTATTTGTTTGTTCAATGATGATTTACCTTTGAACACAAGAAAATATGTTTCCAGAATTCCAACATATCCTTGTTTATTTACCAAGTGTGCTATGTTGTCACTACATCCTCTTTTATTTTTCTTGTGAGACATTAGGTAGATTTTGTTTCAGGAGTTAGATATGTTTTTCTTCCTTGCTTTTCGGCATGGTGGTTGAAGCACATCCAAAAAAACTTGGGAGAATTCTAAATGTTCCCAACTTTTAGAGTATTCACTATCTTAAGGTTTTTGTTTTAAACAAGGCTTATAAACATAGCAGGTTTTTACTAAGCAGGTCACTAGAAGATCTGGATTTTGATCAAATTTGAGATATAATTATTTCTTCTCAATGTTTGTGGTTTGCTTTATCTTTGAAACAAAATAATAATAATAATACTAAGAAGAAGAAAACAAAATAAGGTGAACATATCAGTACCCTAGAGAACAAAGTTGATATAATCATGTCTTCGCTGATCACACTATTTTGACGCATGTAACTCCTATGCAGTTTCAACTTTTAGTGCATGTTTCTGTGTTAATATACAGCTATTTGGCTAAGCAATTGTCAAGTGTGCTCTTTTTTCCCAGGATTCTTCGCGAACATCTTTTATTTGGTTAGTGTCGGAGATACTACAATATGGAATTTAAGTACAGGCTCTCCTTATCTTCAGAAGATAAATAACAAATGCCAAAGGTGAATGGTCTATGGAAGGGATTTGACAGCAATGAATATGGATCTTCTGGCTATGATAATTCTGGTGAAAAGGTTGAAGCCAATAGTTTAAAGCGTAGAAAGCTCACAAAAAAACATCTTTGTGAGATTAATGATCTCAAGTAAGAAGTAACATCCAAAAGTGAGATATGTACAAGTTCAAGTCATAGGTAATTACATAAAATTTATAAATCCCATTCGAAATTCTATTGTGATACAGATGCTATACTTGAAACTCTTATTCTTTTTCTTGCTTAGGAGTATTTTTTGTTGTTGTGGCTAATAGTCTACTCTCACTTTCATCCATTTAAGTCAACCGAGTTAAATACATTTTGTTGCAGGCTTGGACAAAACTCCAGATCCGTATAAAGTTGGCAAAGGAACTACTGATATCCTGCCCGAGTTCTTGAATTTGTACGACGACACCAGAGGCCATATCATTTTTCTGAAAAAAGAGGTCATATCAATTAATATCAAGGAAAACTGAAAGATCTCAAAGTTCGGCATATTCCATATTCAAAGTTTCTTAACTCTATTGAGGGCATCATCAGCCTTGACCGCCTTTATTAGCTGCGAAAAGGTATTCTCATTAGCATTTAAAATACTCCGTAGAACTCTTTCATCACATACATTAGCATATATTTACACGACTTCTAAATAAATATATTAGCTTCGGGCTGTTAGTGTAAGACTGTAAGCATACATCTGATGAAGCTGATTGAGTGCTCAAAAAGGAAATTCGCCTTTCAACAAAACTAATGTCATTCTCTCCCTTCTCCGGGCACCTGCATATGCCTGATCGTGCTTTTTTTTGCCACTTTTGTCTTTTAAATATTCACAAAACCGCTTAAAAAGTGCCACTTTCACATGCAACTTAATGAAATCGCGTAAACAAACAAAAGTCATCGAGAGGAGAAAGAAAAAAATTGTAATCTATATTTTAGAGTGATTTTTCAGAAAGTAGAAAAAGTTTGAAGAAAATATAACTAGTTGGAAGAAACTGTAAGAAAATGGAAAAAACGGGAACGAACTGGAAAAAACTTTAAGGAATTGGAAGAACTATAAGAAACTTAAAGGAACTAGAAGAAATTAGAAAAAACTTGAAGTTAGGAATTCAAATTCTAAAAAAAAACAGAATCTTGGTGTTTTTAACTCACAGGCACTAATTATCTGTATTTGTGTGGTGTACAAATGGGTAAATCATTTTAGTACCATGCCCAAAAAAATGTGTCTCCGTCAAACTCAAACCGACTCAAACGTCACCCCAGCGAGTCACACACTCCAAACCTCAGGCACCTGTCCATTAATGGCAACAGAAGGAATCGAGGGACAACGACGAGATGAAGAAGGCTACAGCGTGCTCTTGTACTACAAATACGCCATCTTCCCCGATCTCAAACAACTCCTTAACTTCTACAGATCAAACTGCGCCTCTCCTTCCCTCGTTGGCCGCATCCGCCTCTCTTCCCATGTCACCGTAATCTCCCCGGATTCTCTACGTATTTTCATATTCAGAGAAGAATATAAACTTCAATTAGTTTCTTAATAGATTTATGATATGGCACTTGCATTGCTTTTGAAAAATTCATTCTAGTTAAGCTGTTCTTTGCGTAGGAGTGATGCTCTTAAAAAACATTTTAATGGTATTTTTCGATTTTCCCTATTGATATGAAGCATTTTTATGAGGTATTTAGCACTATCGATACTCCGCATTTGTATCCCTAGAGTGAGGGTGTCATCTGATTTATTACTAAGTTAAAAATTTCTGTCATCTGATAAACTTATCATGCAATGTGAGTAGTCTGGGAGTTGGGACATCTTTGATTCTTTGTTACATTCAGGTTGGGGGGAAATTGTCTGCTTTAAAGGAGCACATTGCTGCAGTGAAGCTGAATAAGTTGTTTGAAGGGACGGATTTCAAGCTTGCATCTTGTCATGAACCCTTGAACGATAGGATTGCTAAAGAATGTGGATTCACTACTCTATCCATACGCATAGTTGAGGTAACTCAACATTTTTGTTGGAGCTATAACTTCCTCTGCTGTTGTGAAGTCTATTGTTGATTGTGATTCTCTTTATTTATTGTACAGGAATTGGTAACTTTGAGTTACTTTCCGCTGGCAAAGTCTCCAGAAGTTTGAAATGCCGGAACACATCTTTCTGCAGCTGAATTTCATTCTGTGCTTAGTGATGCCGGTATGTACTCACACACCATAAATGTGTAACTTGTGTGGGTGTGCTTTTTAAAAGGTAAAAAAAATACAAGATCAGTCTTCCAATGTTCCTATGTTTTCTATTTTTGGCCCCTAACCTTCATTTTTATATAACATTTTAACTTTAAACTGTGTACTAAGATCCTTCTGCTGAGGAAATGTGTCTTGCTGAATGGGGTTTCACGTGTATTCTGATTCTTGATATGGAATCCACCAAGGGTGTGTACTGTGTATTGATAAGTGATTTGGAGCATGATTTGCAGTTTGAAAACCAGTAATTCAACTGGTCAAACAGGGTACATCATTTTTAGGATGTAGGGAGTTTGTAATAATGTATGTACATGACGCTCGAGTAGGTTGCTTGTCTGGTTTACTTTTTAGTACCTGGTTTTGAGTGCCAAAACATTTAGACACACACTCAAATGCATAAATGTCAGGGCATAGTAATAGCTCTAAACAAGATATAGTTGTGTGAAAAAGTAAGAAAGTTAATCCATTTTGATGTACAAAAGATTATGAAAACTGTTCATATGATAATTAATGGCATTGATAATCCACGAGCATTTTGTGGACCATAGTTTTGCAGTCTTACTCCTATAAAAACAGAAACACTGTTTCCATTACACCATAGTTGCATTGCTGCATTTTTTGTCCAAAACATCATAGAGGGTAGGAAACAACGGAAGGAAGTGCCATAGTTTTGCAGTCTTATTTAGCCCATTATGTGTCCAAATCTAAAACACATTGTCAATGATGACTCTTTTAGCTCCATTGTTCTAAAAATCGCTAGAAAGTGCCAGGCAGAGCATAGGCTGGACCAATTGAAACATTTAGACAACCAAAGGAAAGCTAGTGCGTAGGTTGGGATTTTACGAGAAGAGATTGAAGTGAAAACATGTAGACACTTTGAGACACCAATTTTTAATGTTTCATTTTTTTCAATGGAATATCTTTTCATGGTTTGTAAAGGATTTCGTGGAGCATATAATTTATTTGGCAACAACCTAATTATCCATACAATTCTAGGGCACTCACAGGAAAAAAGTGAAAATAGAACACTCCTGCTGGATGCCCGGAATTTATACGAGACAAGGATTGGAAAGTTCTCGACTCCAAATGTGGAGACATTGGATCCAGGAATTAGGCAGTACAGTGTCCTTCCATCCTGGATAGATATTAATGAAGAAAAATTGAAGGGAAAGAATATCCTTATGTAAGTATTATTTCAAAGCTCTTTTTTTCATTGTTCTTATATTATGAATAAACACAATTTTGTTACACCTTTATGGTTGGTATCATGTTTCAAAACCTGCACTCATTATCTCACTCATTATCTCATCGTATTTGTTTGAACTTTCTAACCTTAAATGGGGGAAGTTAGATTTTAGTTTATTCGATTTTATTGTGTAAGGGTCTTAATCTTAAGTGATGTGCTTTATAGTTCTTGTATGCATCGTCAGACACAGTAATTATAACCAGGCCCAGCAATGGCCATGCATAATTAAGAGCTTGGCATGATAATACATTACTCTTCCATAAATAGAGTCATTTTTATTGAGGTACGACTTTTAAGATTTGATAAGATATAACTAGGTAAACACGGAGTAATTTGGTCCACTTTTTGATGGAACTTATTTGATATTATTAACTTTAGTTAACTGTGAGTCTGTGATGAACCATTTACCTGATTAACTCCATTTTTTGACCCTTAAAGTTGGGGGGGTAATCAGGATGAAGGGTAATAGGTGAATTAAACATTCATTATTCCGCCAAACCTGATCATGTTTGGTAAATCTATTACACTATCCAAATATTTTATGAAACAAATTATTTCCATTTTATGAATCATGACTTTTTTTTGTAACAACTTTGAAACATGACCTTTTAAGGATAGAAGAAATGTGTGTGAGAGTGTGTATATAGTATAGACACATACAAATATATGTATACACTATATACACACAACCATAAAAATTCAGCTTTGCCAGTGCACGGACTTTAGTAGTATCTGACTCTCTGCCATTGTTTGTGTAGTCTACTATCAAATATTTCTTAATTTACTATGCAGAGTGCTTCACTTCTTCAACTACTAAGTTTGAGGATATTATGATTGCCTGAATGTCCATGATCAAGTCTTGAAAAAATTGTATTTCTGAAGTGAATTTTGAGAGTAAAAGGGCAAGTGCAGGCCTACTTATTTGTGAACAAAAACATGATATTTGTATCATAGTTTTTTTACCGATTGAACATTATGCTTGAAATGATTGTATATCAGCTTGGTGTTTATTAATCCTTCATACTTTATATAGGTACTGTACTGGGGGGATTAGTTGTGAGATGGCCTCAGCCTATATTAAATCAAAAGGTGCTGGTTTTGAAAATGATTTTCAGGTAATTCTATCAAAAGGACTCTGAATTTATTTCGAAATAGCTCTTTAAAATCACCAGGACTTGTTTATTGGAAGACTTTAACATGGGTGCTAGTGTGCCTACCTGCTTACTCGAATTGGCAACTTCTTTGCAGTTATATGGTTGGATTCAGCGTTATCTAGAACAATATCCTGATGGGGGGTTTTTCCAAGGAAAGAATTTTGTTTTTGATCATAGGTATGGCTCTCCCATAGTTACGTCGTCGAGTAGTCGTTCACCATGCGTCGGGTCACCGGGAAGGGACGACCGGTGGTGGCGACTAGCGACTCGAGTAAACGTTGCATCACGCCCACAATGTGAGATTAAAAAACCCTAACCTATGGCCGCTGGATTTCAAATATGAAAATCCCAGCCTATCACCATTCACCACCATTGCGACACAGATCTGCTGCGGCTGTGGCTAGAGGGAAGTAGATCTGTCGCCGTCATTCGTGCAACAGGCGTCTTGTTTATTAAGCTTTATTCTGTCGTAGGTTCCTTTTAATGTCCCATATTTTGTTTCTTTTCATTATCATTATCTTTAATTTGTTTTGTTTTACCTTTTTGGGGTGGGGGTGTGTCAACTGCCAAGGGATGGGTCTGTTTGGGTTTGTTATACTCTCTCCGTCTCAAATTAATACTCTCAGTTTGACTTCCACGGAGTTTAAGAATAGTTCAAGTGATGCAGAGGAGAGAGAAAAAAGGTGAGCAACAAAAAGCTTTCCAAAAAATGAAAGAGGAAGATTAATTTGGGACAACCCGAAAATGAAAAAAGCAGGATTATTTTGGGACGGAGGGAGTATTATTTTTGCAACTAAATTTTGTGTTAGATAAGGGTATTGCACTTATCGACTAATTATTGACCGACTAATCGATTAGTCTGTTTGATTAGCCTGGACTCATCCATGTGACAACCATGTGCTCTACATCATAGTCCTTTCATAACTGCCTATTCTGTGATCATCTTTATAAGGTCAGATTACACTTTTTCTGGGAGATGCTGGAATGCTACTGTAGACTGCTAGAAAGTAATTATTCTTCTCGCAGACGGTGCATTTTCTGTAGAATGCTCGTGTTAATCTGGAATAGCTGTCAGGTATGGCTAGTTCAAAATGTTTTGGCAAGCTTGCAACTTCTATCATGAGTTTACTTAACATATGTGGAGACTTGTGGTGTTCATTTGTAGGTTTTTCATGAGAAAAATTGTTATTGTACCATGCAGGATGTAAATTCTACTTATGCTTGTGAACTATGCCAAAAAGCTGGCAAGGATGTTCGCTCGGTTTTGGAGATGAAAGTTCACAAGTCAGTAGAAATATCTGAAGGTGGAGGGGATATGCTTGCCTATTGCTGCACGATCAAATGGTAAGGCCCGTGATCGTAAACAAATTCAATTTTTGTTTGTCGTGAGATAGGTAAAACTCCCTTCATCCCATCATAGTGTAGGATTTATATGGGTTTGGCTTCACATGTTCTTCAAGAAAATGAAGGAGCTTTTGGTTATTCCTTAATTTAAACTTTTTTGAAAAGAATGGGCTAACAAGGTAAAAATGGAAAAAGGATAACTAAGAGAGTTAGTTGGTGGAATTTACCTTTAAAAAAAAGATCCAACAAAATAGGAGCACTTGATGTATTTGGTATGTCAATAACTGAATATATGACATCATTGCTCTCTTCTCCGTGTAGTTGTAGCAGAGGTGAGGTTTGATTGTTAAAATACATAGCCCATCCCCGGCCCTACTCTTGAGTGGGATATACTGCTTTTGTTTGGTTTGAGTGATATGTGCATTTTGACTCTATGGTGGTAAGGTCAACCGCATACATCATACCCTCTCTAGACCCCTCTTGTGGGAATCCAGAGTTTGTTGTTAGTTTGGTTTGTATATGTGCCTTCATTATGTCCTCGGACAGTTTAACCGATATTTTGCAAAACATGATTCATGGACTCAAATGTGAAATGTCCAGAAGAAGACTGAGGATTTTGTGCTTACATGGCTTCCGCCAGAACGCTTCCGGATTCAAAGGAAGATCGGCCTCGCTAGCCAAAAAATTCAAGAACATTGCAGAGCTTATCTTCATCGATGCACCCCATGCCTTACCCTTCATCTACCAACTCCCTCCACCAGACCATCACTGCAATCTCATTTCGTCATACCAGTCCAAAGACACCAACCTTCCTACGGGTGTGCTTGGAAGCGGGCACACTCCAGACACCAACTCTGATTGGAAAATGTCAGACCGTAAATTTGATCATCTACAGTACCAACACCAAACCGAGGGGTTTGACGAATCACTCTCGTACCTGAAAACTAAGGTTTCTGAAGGAGGGCCGTTTGACGGGATCTTGGGGTTCTCACAAGGAGCTGCAATGGCTGCTTTACTCTGTGCACAAAAGGAGAAGTTAAAAGGAGAAATAGATTTCAGGTTTGCAGTATTATGCTCCGGCTTCGCTGTGAATATGGACGAGTACAACACGTTTGGGGAGGGCTAGGTCTGGCCCCAAAGGTAAAAGAGAACAAAAGTTGTGTACAAGGGGGGGTAAGTCGAATGGAATCAGCCGAGTCCTGTGAGGAGTCTCGTTCCATTTAGCCAAAAAAATTCTCCATAACCAAGGTTACTGTCTTTAGCCTTGGATAACCAGCCTTTCTTTCTATTGATCCAACACCATTTTTGAGTGATGTTGTTGACTGATTTGATGAGGCCATGTAAGTTGGTTGGGTTGTCATCGTAATGTGCCGCATTATAGTTTTTCCAGAGGCTCCATGCAATGAAGCCCGATATGACCGCACGTAAGTGTCCAGAGAATGCCTTCCCCTTTGCACACGACCACCATAAAATTAAATGTTGGGTAATGGTTCTCCCTTGTCTAGGCAGCGGTCCATCGAGAAGATATGCATAATGGTTCCAGAGCTGGTTTGCAAGGTGACAGTGGAGTAGAGTGTGATTACGTCCATCTTCAGCATTCAAGCAGATTTGACAAATTCCTCTAATGGGAATGGAGATAGCTCGATAGTTTTCAGTGAAAGGTAGTGCCTGGTGAAAGAGTTTCCAGAGGAAAAGCTTGATTTTGGGGTTCTGATATTTGTGCCAAATGTACTTAGAGGGAAGGTCTGGAGGCTGGGGTTAAAGGCCACTTAAGTAGGCTGCCTTGATAGTGAAGTCTCCATTGTTCCATCTCAAAGTTCCATTTGTTGATGAAGTGAGGTCACTAGCCACTGCATGAATCCTGTAAATTCTTTTCCAAATCGCTGAATCTGTCAATCTTTCATTGTAAATATTGGCTCTAAGGTATTTTTGACGCATAAAGGTTGCCCAGAGACCTTGTTTTGTGTTGACCTTCCACCATAGCTTGTATGAGAATGCTTCTTGGATATGATGCAAGTTGCGTATTCCCAATCCCCCCTGGTCTGTTGGAAGACAAATGGCATCCCAATGAACCCAATGATGTTTGTCTGGTAGAGTGTGAACAACTAGAGTGTGGAGCTTGGATATTATGGATTCTGGTGGAGCTTGGACATTCGTTGGTGGAGCTTGACATTCGTTGGTGGAGCTTGGATATTATGGATTCTGGTAGAGTGTGAACAACTAGAGTGTGGAGTGGAATGGAGGAAAGAACATGTTTAATAAGTATGAGTCTCCCCATAGGATTGAGGACCTTGCAATACCAGGAATTGAGGAAACTGTGGAAGTGGGCAAGTAGCTGGCTGCAGTGGTCTTTCTTGAGTTTTCCTTTGCATATGGTGGCACCAAGATATGTAAAAGGTGTGCTCCCTTGTTTCATCCCAAGAGCTTTCTCAATTGCCATGATAGAGGGTAATCGAGCATGCTTCCCACAGTAAAATTTACTCTTGGTGAAGTTTATCACCTGCCCGGATGCCAAAAGGTATGTTTGAAGAATGCCTTTTAGCCTTAGCACATTTCTGAAGTGACCATTGCTGAAAAGAATGAGGTCGTCTGCATAAGCAAAGATGGCTTAGCAGAGGCACCTTACCCGCATTAAAAGGGCAAAGAAAAGAAGTACTAATGTAATGGTTAAGAGTTCTTGTGAATCCTTCCATGGCCAGGATGTAAAGAATGGGGGAGAGGGGGTCTCCTTGCTTGATTCCCCTCTCCATGGGGAAGAACCCTGCGTGCTACCCATTAATGAAAATGGAAAAGGAGGTTGCCTTCAGGTTAGCCATAAGGAGATTAAATACATGGGGAGAGAACCCAAAAGTGAGAAGAGTTCCATTATATATATATATATATATATATATATATATATATATATATATATATATATATATATATATATCTGTGTGTGTGTGTGTTTTCGACCGGTATATCGTTTTTACCCGGGCAAAAATGATAAACTAGTCTAAAAATACACCAAAATATAAACACAGGAATTTTTACGTGGAAACCCAAATCGGGAGAAAATCACGGGCCTTTTTTGGCGGTACCTTGCCAACGGAGGATTTTTATTAATATCAGGAGTTGTACATGGTAAATGAATTGGGCTCGAAAGCCATTAATGGAAGCTTCGAGCTTCTTCGAAGGAGTAAAATACAAAAATAATCTAGAGAGAGAAAGTATAGTGCAGGGAGTAAAGAATGGAAAATGGCCTCCCCCTTTGATGAAGGAGAGCCCTTCTTTTATAGGAGTAGTAGGAGCATTTACGAGAGAATATTTTCTTATTCCTCTATTTCATTAAATAGGCCCGATTTGACTGTTCTTCGTAAATAATTGAGAAATGTGGGCCGAGCCATGTATTATTTCCCATCAAGAAGTCCTCAACTTTTTTAAGTTGTGAGAATCATCAACTTAAAAAAGTAACAAGTCCTCCGAGTGCTATCTACAGTCTTCTTACTTTCCAATCTTGACCGGTTGATATTGTTAGTCCTCCGAGTCTTCATTAATTCTCTAATTTCTTGAATCAAATGTTTTTCCTGCAAAAATAATATGTACAATACATTTTTTTACCGGCCTATGTCGTGCTCAAAAAATTATTATCTTTAACGAGGAACTCGGTGTTAGGTGATTAAAATTCGCGTGAATAATTAACGTAACGAGAGCGATGTTAGTTCGATGAAGTTACGATGCTTCAAAAACTTATTTCGTCGAGGCCGATGTTAATACGAGTCAAGCAAACGATGCGTGACGAAATTAGTATACTGATGCAACGACGTTAGTTAAGAATTGAATATGATGCGGTAGGTTTGTTAAAGATCAGTGTTAGCTCGGCTGACTGATGTAAATATCTTCATGTATCGCGGAGACCATCTTCGATAAAAGTGCCTCAGATAGAGGGCTTAGAATGAATCGGGCGTCCCCGATATATATGAGCTCAGCTCACTTTTTTGCTGAAACTGATGTGCAATCGGTGTACTCAATTCGATTGGGCTCAGGCTCATTGGAAAATATGTACAAGAGCGGTGTGAGACCAGTGTACCAGTTCGACTGGGTCACATATTTTATTTATTATACTGAGCAAGACCGGTGTAGTAACCAGTGTGACAGATCGGGCCTGTATCTTAGTCTTCCTATAAGATAATGCTGTTGGCCGGGCCAGATCAACATTGGAGAATTAACCATATCGGATGGTTTTGAGCCCTCTCCCAGGCCCAAAATGCACCCTTCTTCCAGGGCCCCATCTTCCGGGTGATTAAGTCTTTTAATGGCCCTTTGATGTTTACTATCCCAGGAAGGCCTTAGCACACCCTCACGTTCAAGTCTTCCCTGAGAAGGGGGAATCCGATCCGTTCGGAGTAGGATGCATTGCGGTGAACGATCCTTTTCTATTTCTTTTAATGGGCATCTTTTAGTCCCAATCAGTTTGACGGTTTCGACTGAATCCCCGACACCGATCAAATCTCATGTGCCCGTGTAAGTACGGTTCGAACCTTCTTCCGGGTCCAGCCTTCTTGCAGGCAAACCCCTTATCCGGGGCCCCTCTTCCGGGTTTATCTTTTTTTTATTTTATACTGAGCAAGACCGGTGTAGCTACCATCGTGCCAGGTCCGGGCCTGTGTCTCCATAAAAGTTGTGGAACAATGTACACATTGGTGTAGGCCCCCATCATGACTATCTTGTTTGTCATGTTCACTTTTTTCATGTGAAATAAGGCCCCTTTTCCATGAGTGGAGCTTTTAATAATAGGAAAGTGACCCGTGACTTGATGCCTTCCAATGGAAATCATCCCATACTTTATGCACTGTTCATTTCTTTGGTGGGGGCAACTTTTCATTATCAAAGATATTCACACCACAAACCATCCTCCCAACTTCGTACTTTTGGCTTTGTGCATATGTCTCAAATTGGAAGTGAAGGACATATATGGTGGCCCGCCAGATTCTATTTTTTGGTGGATTTCTTCCCATCTCTTTGCCCCATCCTTCCCATGTGACTTTTCCCTCAAAATAGGCATAGTACACCCTATTTTTTGTGGATGGGCCCAAACTGCACAATTCCTACCACATCTTTTCTTTGCAAAGCAAAATTTCAATCACTATCCTGAGTGGGGTATAGCGATCGACAAAACCTTGTGAAGGGCGACGAGCGACGATGGGTGAGGCAGGGTGCGGATGTGAAGCCAGATACTGCCTTCTGCTTCCTTGATGGTTTACGAGGGTGGGGGACTCCATGGCAGCCACGAATTTCAATGGCAGCAGAACTTAGCGGTGAACTTGGCCCTCCAGCGATGTAATGGATCCGACCGCAATCATCGCAGCGGCAAATATAATCCTTACCAAGCAACAACCAGCGCCTCCTCCTAGAAGGAAGTAAACTTGGTTGCAGCAGTGATGGGCGAATCTTTGCACTATCAATCGAGGGTTTCAAAATTGAGATCGGTGATGGCGGACGTCAATAGTGCTCTCGACAAGCATAGCCCGTTTGCCTCGAGCAAAGTGGCGGCGATGAATTGCTTCCATCCACCACAGGGGTGGACTTCCATAACGGATTCATGGCAAGGGTAGATTTTAAGACCAATGGCTACGGATATTAGCCCGTAGTAGAGTCGGCGGCGATGATTGGCTTCTATCGAGGATTGATTTTTTCTGGCGTGGTGGCTCACAGCTTCGGCCGCGGCGAGACCAAAAAACAACCATCTGGTGACGGAGGCGCACAAGTTTCGGAAGTGGCCGGGATGACGACAAATCTTTGTAGCGGCGTCGGCGGGTCTGAGCATCGGCGGCGGCGGGTTTGAGCAACGGCGTCGACGGGTCTGAGTAGCGGCGGTGGCAGATTCCGGTAGCTGAGGGGAAGGCGACTACCAGAGACCTCGATCTAGGGGCGGCGACTGCAATTGGGGTGCTCCTTTCTTTCTCCATTTTTTTGCTGTCAGAATGTGGGTAGAATAAAAAAATGATGAATTATTGTGCTCCTTTTCTTGGATTTGAGGTGCCTATGCACTCCCTAATGTCTTTGATTTGAGCCTCAAATCCATACTTTATTTAAAAAGCCATGGATTTTCAATTTAGTTTTCTTGTCCATTTGTTGTTCTAATAAAAATGGTAATTGTTCACTCCATATGGTAATTACTCAATTAAAATGGAGTTACACGGGTTATTAATGGAGTTACCAGAATTGAGTAATTACTCAATTAAAATGGTAAGTAATTTAAAGTAATAATAAAATATTCAAACATAATTACACTTACCGTTAATAAATCAATCCTTTTTTAACCAGTTTATACGAATGGTAATAATTGTATTTAATTATATTTACTAATATATATGTAATAATATCTAATAACTTATTTCATTTAAAACTGGTAATATACACATTTATTTTAAATGGTTAAATTAATATAAACATGTATTTTGGTAATAAAGTATTCACACACGACATGTTAAATAAAAAAATTAAGTACGTATATAAAAAAAGGTAATTAAAAATCTAATTACCATAATAAATTAAAGCTAATAAAATATATATATTATTTTGGTATTATGTTAATTTATACAAATGGTAATTGTATTTAATTATATTCACTACTTTATATTTAATAATATCTAATAAATTATTACATTTAAAAATGGTAATATATACATGTATTTTGAATGATAAAATTCATATAAAGTGTTAAGTACGTATATTTAATATAAAGTATTAAGTACGTATATAAAAAAGATAATTAAAAAAACTAATTACCATAATAAAGAAACGCTAATACATGTAATTTTATGGTAACGGAATTGTGTTTTGGTAATATAAACATGTGTTTTGGTAATAAACTATTAAAAACGTATATAAAAAAGGTAACTAAAAATCTAATTACAATAATAAAGAAAGGCCAATAAAATGGTAATTAGTTTGGTAATATAGTATCAGTAATTAAGTACGTATATAAAAAATATAATTACCATAATAAAGAAACGCTAATAAAATAGATATATTATTATGTTATCCTCTAATATAACCGTGTATTTTGAAATTGTAATTAACAATAGGAAAATACGTATAGAGTAATGTACATTTTTAACACGTATACAAAAATGGTAATTAAAAAAATAACGTTAAAATGGCCAACCTATGGGAAACAATTAAAATGGTAAGTAATTTAAAGTAATAATAATTCTTTTGCATGGGTCATTAATGTTACACGGTTTTGACTCATTCCCATTTATGGAAAACTTTCCAAACGTGAATATAAAGATATAATAATAATACTAACGTAATCCTTTAATATAATATTTGAGAGTTGATAGCCTAGAATGATGACAGGTTGGCAAGTGAAAGGCTCCTAATTTGCTTACACCTCAGATGACACGCGTCCAATTATTAGCTGAAGCCCTTCCCAGACCCAGTACCGATTCTTTCTCTCATCTTCCCGACTATCTTCTTCGCCAAAGGAAAGAAAAACCTGCAAGGAAATTCAACCCTGATTCCTCGCTGCAGATCTTCACGGAAGGAAAGAAATCCCAGGTACTGCGTTACATTTCTATTCGTCGAATAGGTTTCACGGAAAACCCACCGGTACTTCCAATAGGTCCTCTTCTGTTCTTCGCCATACCCAAGTCTTCTTCTCCAGGGCTATTGATCCTTCGCCGAAATCAAGCAATTTCTTGCGTCTATTCTTCTACAACGACAAATTCTCAGAGGGAAAGTCTCCAATTGTATAGCTCTATCAATGAAGGAAAGTCTCCAATTTTGTGAAAAAAGGTATTTCGGATCCAAAATTTTCGAAGCGTCAAACAGAGGTATGTTTCTTAAAATCATATGCATCAATTATTCAAGAATCGAGAGTAATTAATTTTATTCCTGATCCTGTTCCCAGATTTTTGGCTCGATCGTAATCCAATTTTTTTTGTTAAATTCATATATTGATTCATTTGTTGTTGTTGTTGTTGTGTGTGTGTGTATGCTGGGGAGATTTGGACTTTCATATAAAGTTATCATTGAACTTAGGCTCCTAAATAGTATTAGATGCAGAGGAGATAGCTGCCTTTGTTTTCATGGTATCTCACAAGTCAATGCTCTCTATTCTTAGTATCATACACAAGTTGACCTCCACTCAATTCTTCATTCTGCTTTCACAAGTTGCTGAACTCATGTGGTATGAAACCCTGTTCTGCATTCTGTTTATATATATATATATATATATATATATCCTTTGATATAAAATTTGAGAGTTTGATTTGTAGTAATTTGACATGTGGCAGTTTTTTACACGCGTCTCTCTCTCGCTTATCACTTCTTCGATTGATTCACGGAACCCTTCAGTAAAATATTCGCCTTCTTTCTCCAACTGGATTTGTTCTTCGCTATAGGACAAATTTCCATATGCAAAAATTCTGCGTGATTCTCTGTCCATATGCAAAAGTTTCCATATGCCAGCAGATAAAGGTCAAAGAGGCTTATGCCAGAGGCTAAGCCAAACTTTTTGTCTTGGCTTCACTCAAACAACCTTCGTTGTCCGGTTGCTTCAACACAGATGTGTTCGTTGCTATCACCCTCGCCGAGTCCCCCTTAAACTTCAATATCTAAGTTTCCATGTTTTGAAGTTTTCAGGGAGAGGAATTTGAGCACTAATCAGAAATTACGACATCCAAGACGACGCCGAAGACATCAACGTTAAGTTTTTTCCTAATCATTATTTTTCAAATTGATTTCTAGGATTTTTGGATGAAAGAGTTCAATTTTGATTTGGGGTTCATTCTTTGCACAGTAGTTTTGCTCTAGACCTTCTTCAAGTTCAGTCCCAATGTAAAATTTTAGCAATGTCCTACATGCAAGAACCAGAAGAATGGTAAATTTATGGAGGTGCTTCACCTGCGGAATCTTTGATAGATTGCAGAAAAGTGTTTAATCGAGGTAGAAAAAAATTTATTCATTTTTTTCAATTAATTTTCTCAAACATAGATTTTTGAAAACAACTAAAAGGGAGGTTGAAGCAGCTAGACAAGATAGTTTAATTGTAATCTCGGTTCCCTTTAAATCTTCATTTCTAAATAAATTGATATATTTATTCAATGGCATTGATACAAAAATCATTATTTCATCAAGTATGAACCTTATGGCGTGAATGTATAAACAGCTATAACATCATTTCCTTTATTCATTATAATTTTTTTTAAAAAAATATATTTGGTTCTCAAGGCTTACATATTTTGATATCATAGGTTCAAATGTTTGATGGATCCCATGACGAGGGCATGGACAATGGCACATCTCAAACAACAATATGGAGTTTCATATGGTAATTTCTCTATGAAAATTTGTCATATGTAGGGTGCTGTATTCTTTGAAAAACAAGTTCATATTTACATTGCACAAAAATTATAGTATTATTTTTAGGACCTAGATAATTATATGAATAATACCAGATTTAATCCCTAAATTATACAACTACGAACTTGGTGATCATTTTTTATTGTATTAAATTTAATCCTTATTGTACGCGTTTGATTCTAAATGATGATGATAATTTTTGTTCGTTCACTAATTCTAGCCATTTCTTCCCACATAATTCATCACCTTAAATATTTATTTTAGACATATAGAGTAGGAAACTTCTCTTTAATTATTTTAAACAGAACACACATAGAATGAGATTATATGTGACATTTCCTTGGGTTTCTTAAACTCAGTAAACAACTTTAGCAATTATGAGTATTTTATATACTTCGGGGATCAAATCATGTTTTTATTCTCAAATTTTATGTCTTCCATTTTGTTATTGTATGAAGATTTGTGATGATGTTGTAATTTTTATTTTTGATTTATTATAGAGTTCTAAGTCTGAAGGCCTAAGAGATAACCTATCTTCTCTTTGTTTTGCTTTGTGGAGGCATATTCACTAGAACTTCGAGTTCAAGACCAATGAAATTTTTTAGCAATGTTCTACACTCAATTAAAACAATTAAAATTTACAGTGAGTTTGCGCAATCTTTAAGTTAACTTTGTTATTGTGACTTGGTCTCAGGATGTGCTAATGTATTTATGTCTACAGGTTCTACATGAAGGCGCGAGTGATGAGAAAAAGAGATGGGCTCTCAGTTATTTTGACATTAGAAGGCCGCTTGAGAGAAGAAACTTTGGTCGCATCTATTTAGCTAGGGAGAGCAGAGGGTAAAGTAACATTTTTTACCAGTAGAAAATGATATACACTATTGGATTAATCATCTTTTATAATTAAGACAAGTTGGCATTATTCTAGGATTTTATTTTCAATTGCCCCCAATGTGCAATGGTGAAATTAAGCTTGCAAATTTTGGCATTGCCAAACATGTAGGCATCAACTTCATTTTGTTTGTATAAATCTTTTTATTGCAATATTACGGCAATTGGTCAAAATATGGTTAAACTAATGTAAAAAATTTACAATGATTTTATAACAAGTACCTACCTACTTACTTTTGTGGAATTTAATTGAGTTTATTTTATTTATATTTTTCTCTGGCAGTTTTCTTTGTGAACCATAAGCAACCTAAATTTTTTTATGACCTAATATTACGTAGTGATTTGTTTAAAATATTTCTTGAAAAGAAACTAAACACGCATGTTAGTATAGCTTCGAACATGATATTTAGTGTAGAATAATACGAAGTGCTTGAAACGAAGCACACAAAGTTTCTTGGTTTGAGAATTGTGAACTTTTATTGGTCATATATGTTGATGCTTAGATAAGTGGTAATCATGTTGAATTTATATTTTTTGTTTCTACATTTAAATTTGGAGTACAATGCCAAGAAGAGACACATCTTGCTTAAGAAGTAATTTACTCTTTAGGTATGTTTAACACAATTTTAAATTAAAAGAATCTATTTTGATGTTTAAGTAAACATTATAACCAGTGTGGCTTCCTTTAGTGTTAAGATTAAAAACATATCTATAGTTCTTCAAGATTATCAATTTTTTTTTTGTTTGGTTTGAAGGATGAGAATCTTTAGCACATTATACGACGTCTTGAAAAGGGGTTTGAAGTTGGATTTTTAGACTTTGAGCTATCCCTCCTAAAGATTATGATCTAATGATTCTTTTTTTATACACAATGACAATGTACGATTTCAAAGTGGAACTGTTCTTGGGTTTGTAGTCTCCTATTTCCATGGTTTAAACATGATTTTGCATATACTCAATTATTCTTTATTCAAATCCCATACATATTAATTTAAATAATTATAACAAAATAATACTGATATATAAATTACATATGATTTGGAGAATATTCTTGGCGTGCAACGCACGGGTACCAAAGTATAAATATCAGAGTCATTCTATGAGAGGGTGCCATTTGGGTAAAAAATATTAATTCTAAATAATAATGAAACCATGCTACCACAACAAATATGTTATATTCTCAAATGGTATTTAAAAAGTATGAATTTAAGAAAGACTTGAAGTGTTTGCTTTTGAATTTATATATGAGCATTTTCATTATCAAATATTAAATGATAAATTATTTATTTTATTTTGATTTTAATGTCTATAAAGAACGAATTGCATACACTTTCATAAACTCATTTAAAAATATTACATTGAAGATAATTCACAGAATCGATAAAATTTTGATTAATCCCGTGCGTGACACGGGCAAAAATCTATTATTAATATTATATATCAACATCGTTTAGGGACCAACTTTTAAACTCAACTAATTTTTAAATTTTAAATTGTGAAAATCCAATTGGGTATTTTAGTAATTAGGAATTTATTAACTTTTAAAAATTCAATTACCAAACGATAAAAAAGCAAAATGCTAATCATTAACTCTGATGCGAACAACTAATAGCTAACTCTAACCTCTAACTCTAACCTCTGACTCTAAACTCTAACGTTATTCCCAAACATGCCTTAAAAATATTGGTTCTAGATGACAATAAAAACTTTTGCAACCATACTAAAAATGTTGTATACTTTGAAGTTTTTTAGAAAATTTTGTATTAAATACTCCCGCCGTCCCAAAAAGATTTACACGTTTCAAAAAAATTGCGTCCCACAATCTCTTACCCATTTGTATTAAAAACCCACTTTTACCCCTTACTTTTTCAAACCCTACCTATCACATCATACCTTTTTTCTAATAATCTACACATCACATCATAGTTTTACCAATCACATCAAGAGTATTTTTGGAAAGTCAACACAAAATTATCTCTCCCTTAGTTTCTATTTTAGTCAAAATGTAATCATCTTTATGGGACGGAGGGAGTATTATTTTATTGTGTACAAATTCAATTCCTAAAATATTATTTAGTCCATTTTGGTTTTTTTGTCTATAGTATTAAAAATCATGCGAGAAGTATATTTTCTTTAATTCAAGAAAAATATTACATTAAAAGAACTTTTGAATCGACAAAATTTTTTATTCGGTCCCGTGCGTGGCACGGGTAGAATACTAGTTAATTTATATTGGAAATTATTAAAAAGGTAAGTAATTTAAATTGGTAATTAATTATTACTAATTAATAATAAAGGAACACCGAAATTCATAAATTCATATAGTATAAATATGCTACCTTACCGGGCGACATAAGCAAGATAATCAACGAGTGTTTAAATTAAACGAGTGTTTTAATTGATCGGTGCTCCACCATCGTTTTTTGTACGAACATGGGGATGATTACTGCATTAAAAAATGGTGACGAAAGTTCTGGATTATTGATGATGAAGCTAAGAGCGGTTAGAGTTTACCACGTTCCTGCTCATTCTCGAGGGCCGGAATCATTGGATATTGTTTTCCAGGACTCAGAGGTTAGTTCTACATTATTTTATATTTTACATATAATAAATCTTTAAACAAAAAATATAAATTTAATTATAGATTAACGTTTTATATTTGTTGTTAGGGCGATCGGATCCATGCTCAGATCAAAGATACTAATATATGCACATTCAAAGAAGATTTGCAAGAAAATGCAGTTTACTTAGTCATGAGGGTCAAGGTTATACGCAATTTCCAAGGCACAAAAACTACCAACCACCCTTGCAAAATCTTTCAAAATCTATAAATTATCTAATACCATTAGATTTTAATAGACAAATTAAAATCTAAATTCAATACCTTAAGATTTTAAATGACTTTTTAAAATCTAAATTGAATACCCTTAGATTTTAAATGATTTTTTAAAATCCTAATTGAATACCTACTAACTTTTAAAATCTAAAAAAATCTTCTAAACTCTTGTTTGAATACACTCCCCTAAATCTTTTCATATTCTGACTGTGGTTTTTCTATTGTTTTGTTACGAATTAGTTCCCAACTTGAGTTTTGGAATTATATCTTTCAAATTTATATGTTTTTGGATGTCATCTGAGTAATTTCAATTTGAGATTGGTGATTTCTGTTACTATTCTTGTTGGTCCTACTGTTTGACTTTGAATCTATGTTTTCTTGTACTGTTTCTATTTGAATCTAAATATTTTCATGCTCCGAGTGTGACTTTTCTATTGCTGTGTTACCAATTGGTTCCCAACTTTAGCTTTTGAATTTTAATTTTCAAATTTATTATATTTTTTTTGGATGTTATCCGAGTAATATCAAGCTGAGATTGGTGATTTCCGTTGCTATTCTTGTTGGTCCTATTGTTTGACCTCGAATATAGGGTTTCTGATACTGTTTCTATTCGAATTTAAATCTTTCCATACTTTGGCTCTGATTGTTCTATTGTTGTGTTACATATGGGTTCCCAACTTTAGTTTTTGAAATCTATTTTTCAAATTTATAATTTTTTGGATGTCATCTGAGTAATTTCAACTTGAGATTGGTGATTTCCGTTATTATTCTTGTTGGTCCTACTGTTTGACTTTAAAGTAAGGGTTTCTATTTGAATCTGAATCTTTTCATATTCTAACTGTGGTTTTTCTATTTTTTTGTTACGAATTAGTTCCCAACTTGAGTTTTGGAATTATATCTTTCAAATTTATATTTTTTTTGGATGGCATCTGAGTAATTTCAATTTGAGATTGGTGATTTCCGTTACTAATTTTGTTGGTCGTACTCTTTGACTTCGAATATAGGGTTTCTGATACTGTTTCTATTTGAATCTAAATCTTTTCATACCCTCAGTGTCATTTTTCTATTGTTGTATTACAAATGGTTTCTCGACTTACGTTTTTGAATTCTGTTTTTTTAAATGTATAATTTTTTATGTCTTCCGAGAAATTTCAAGTTGAGATTGGTGATTTCCGTTACTATTCTTGTTGGTCCTACTGTTTTACTTTGAATATAGGGTTTCTAATACTGTTTCTTTTCGAATCTAAATCTTTTCATATTCTGAGTGATTTTTCTATTGTTTTGTTACAAATTGATTTTGCTATTGAAGATGACAATTGCTCATTTGAATCAAGAAATGGCCCATGAGCCTGTACATGTGAAGGAGAATTTTGTTGCAATTGGGAACAGGGCGCTGTTAACAGCAAATGTTGGGCGTCGGTGGGTGTTTGGGTTGAATGAAAATCAGCAATTTACATGGGTTGATAGATTCCAGGTATAGTGTTTGATTTTACGTCTCTGTCCACAGACACACATTGAGAGATACATTTGACCATAAATGTTAATTGTTAACTAACAAATCTGACCTTGACCTTGCAGCAAGGGGATTCCAGTGATGAAGATAGCGATGAAGACAATGAAAGTATGTCCGCTGCAGCTGGAAATGAAAATGATACCCCTCCAAACAACCTGAATCATCACGTCTCTGTCCACACACACAGTGAGAGAGATACATTTGACCTTAAATGTTAATTGTTAGCTAACAAATCTGACCTTGACCATGCAGAAGGGGATTCCAGTGATGAAGATTGTGATGAAGACAGTGAAAACATGTCCGCTGCAGCTGGAAATGAAAATGATACCCCTCCAAGCAACTAGAATCATCAGAATAATACCCCTCCAAACAACCAGAATCCTCAGAATAATACCCCTCCAAACAACCAGAATCTACAACTGGTTGTTTGGAGGGGTATTATTCTGAGGATTCTGGTTGTTTGGAGGGGTATTATTCTGATGATTCTAGTTGTTTGGAGGGGTATCATTTTCATTTCCAGCTGCAGCGGACATGCTTTCACTATCTTCATCACTGGAATCCCCTTGCTGCAAGCACATCTACAACTGGCTCAAACAGTAGTGATGACATTCACACTTCTGCTACTGTTGCTGCTGCGATTCAACACGCAAAGGAGATCTTGAGAGCATCTTGGAAAGCTCTTGTTGCTTGTCAGAATTTTCATGAAATCATCGCAGTTGTTAGAATATAAATAACTGTTCTTGGGCCACAAGCTTGAGCTTTTGGTTAAATTGGTTCCTTGACATGGTATCGGAGCCTCGTTGACTAAGAAGTCATGGGTTCGAAACTCAGCGTCACCCAGTTTTTTAAAAAATTAAGGTTTCACGTGCAAGGCTCGAATCATTGAATACAACATGAAAAGGGGATACCTCATTCAGATACGGAAGAATCTGATTCAAAACATGCCCCCTCACGTATCCAAATGAGGTATCTCCTTTTCATGTTGTATTCAATGATGAGAATATTTGGCTGGACACGATTGCTGCTCATCAACAACTTGAATTCAACCAAGTCTGGCCACTACTGGATGAATATTGGCATAACAAAAATCATTATGATAACATTCTTGGTGGACAGCAAAGTTTGTATTTCGATGTCTACACCTAGTAGTATTTGTATTTGGATATCTTTGATGGGGATTTTGCATTAAATATTTTCTATATAGACTTCCACTTTCTGATTTGAACATACTACGTATCATCT